TTTAAAATGAAAAAAATAAAAAAATGTATTAGGGGATTGGATCGGTTAATTGACGGGTTGGTTGCTTAAACCGCAACCAATCCAACCCGCCTTTATAATGGTTAAAATTAACTGAATCAAACCGATTTTTTGGTTCAAACCAATCCAAACCGACCCGACTCGATTTGGTTCGGACGGTTTAATCGGTGGCCAAGGTTATGAACCATATAAATTTCTCTTGCTTGTTATATTTTACTTAAAACCTAATTTGGTTCTTCTACGCAACATTTAATTATGAGAAAAATTTTAGATTGTGATATGGATTTGTACCAGAAATTTGGTATGCACTTCATGCAGCAACTGAAGTTGATCCAGCTCTTGCACAAACAATTGTGAAAGATGCTGGGCTCACAGTTCAGAATGCCGATTTAACAGTTTGTTATGATGAAAGAGGTACGTAACTGAGTCGCCATTCGATATTTCTTCTTCTTTTGCCCCTTTTAACGTAAATGTCACGTATGGAGTGTATTTTTACCCCTAAACGCCTTTGTCGTAGATGTAAGATATGAATTACTGAAGTATGTTTTGAGTGAGCCAAAGAACTTAATTCAAGATTGTTGAAACCACAGGATTGTTACACCATGTATTTTGCCCAATTTGAAGCAAAATTGTGCATATCATTCCCTTTGATATGTTCTAGTCGATTCTCGTGTTAGAAACTATAAATTAAAGAGAAATGATTGTGTTGTTTTCATATTAGTAAATCACAAAGAGAATGACTCACTTAAAAGTTATACATAATTTAAAATATCTACAATAGTTGTTTATCTACGCAGACAAATGGTTATATATAATTCATAACTAGTGATTTTGATATAAAATATTGATTATGAAAAAAGTTTCTTCAATATGCATTATGTAGCATAAGAAACGATGAAGGAAGAAACTTAGTTAGAAGAAAGAATGGTATGTTATATAATCAGCGCACGTCACACGTCGACAATTAGTTAGAAGAAAGAATGATATAATATGTTGGCCTCAAAAAATGTTGCCAATAGATGTTGGGCCCACTCGTGCACACGCGAGCTTGATCCGACACGTTAATGCCGATCAACGGTCAAGACGACTCCAGAAACTGAACGTGGGAATAGCTCAATGACATGAGATGTCTTCGTTCGGACTTCCGGCAAGATTTATGTAACACGATTATATAAGAAACCAATCGATAAAGCACGATTTGTGGTAGGAAATATGTTGTAGAAGCACACTTTGTAAACGAAAGGGAGATATATTGCTCCTAGTGTTTAGATTTTCCTTCAGAATCTTTTTATTAGCCCTATTATGTTACATGGTGGGGGTATTTATAGTGTTACAAATCAAATGGCGACTTTTGGATCAAGTTACACGTGGCCTCATCTTCTCGACCAAGACATCAAATCCTAACTATCAAATTGACTCTCATATCCTTACAAAACATTAAATGCTCTTA